GTGTGTGAGTGAGTGTGAGATGTACTCCTGGCTGCTGCTCGCGGCTCTGCTGATGTTAAGCGCTCACGGGGTCGACAGCGGCAAATCCAAAGTCAATGCCATCAAATCGGGGGCCAGTGGCCAACAACTGGCAGAGCAGCTCCCGACTCACAACAGATCCGCGGGCATCGTCCAAAGGGCCACCGTCAACAAGAAAAACCCCCTCCCCAGCCCCGGGCAGGTGAGTCGGTCAGTCACAGTCAGTCACAGTCAGTCAAGTCCTTTTGCAAGAGGGACCCTGAACATAAAATTAAGAGCTGAATTGCAGTCGTGTTTGCACTGCAGTCGTCTTGAGTTTTGGGGGGTGATGCGGGGTCTGGGGGTTTCTGGGGGTCTGGGGGTCTGGGGGTCTGGGGTTCTGGGGTCTGGGGGGGGGGGACTTCGTGCTGGGAATGGATGGGAAAGAGCGTGTTGGGTTGGGATTTTTTACTGGGAATATGGGAATGATGTATTGGAAATGTGTATATGTTTCAAGTATGTTTCAAGTGCAATCGTCTTGAGTTGGGACTTCGTCGCAGGGAAATGGATGGGAAGAGCGTGTTGAGTTGGGATATTGGACTGGGAATGCATTGGAATGATGTTGGGGTGGTGGTGGTGGTGGGGGGGGTTGTGGAGGGGGGAAGGGGGGGGGGGGTTTGCATGCAAAGGGGGGATTTGGGGTCGGATCAGGTACCGAGATCTCACAGCTTTTGCATCAGCGCCTGTGATTGTGGTTGTGCACTGGGACTGCAGTCACATCTGTAACAGCTCACGTACAAGTGAAGGCACTTGTGGGCATAAACCGATGGTTTAAATAGCAATCCCTGTAGCATCAGGCGCTTTTTGCTCCTCGCTGGGGTGAGACATAATCTCCTAAAGATCCCTCACCCTCTCCCCCTCCTCCTCCTCCTCTCTCTCTCTCTTCTCAGCCCAACGAGTTTTATGTTAAGTTTCCTGCTGTCCATAAATGAGTTCCAGGTTCCTGCTCTGGATGGCAGAGGCTCAATAGGATACAGGTTGATCTGCACATAACATGGGGATAGTATTTTTCTCTCTCTCTCTCTCTCTCCTCCCCGAGAGCCTTAAGGCTGAGCACTGGATGCTCTTTTCTGAGTCAAATGGACACTAAAAGTGTAGGGAAACTGGGGTTGGGGTTGGAGAGGTGGGGAATGTGGCTGCAATATAGATAACACTGTACCTGCAAGTGCTGGATTCGCATTGACCACAGTTCTGGTTAGAGGCACAGTAATGCCAGGGTTTAATCTTGACAAAAACTTACCAGTTCGCGCCGCGTGTGCATACCTTTAACATAGCGGAGGGTTCCGACCGCTCTCTCGTCTCTTCTCTCTTTTCAAACAAAACTTTTAACAGGTTTCGTGTGAGTTCAGCACCGCGCACTGTTTGCCTTGTGTCGTTAACTGAACCATTGCAGCACGAATTCGACTCGTTTGTTACTGTATGGAGTCTAAGGGATTCGTAATAATAATAATAGTAATAATAATAAAAAGACTTTGTAAAGTGAGTTCAGGCTGAATCTTTCTCTGTACTGTATATCTAGTGTTGTAATTAATTGAGAGTAAGGTCAGAAATAAAAACAACGGGACAGGACTTTCGTTTGGATTGTAGATTTAATGCTCCTAAAGGATTTGCATTTTAAATTGTAATACTATTAAAAGACACGTGAGTCTTGAAATCCCACATAGTCGTAGCCTGTTATACTACTCTGCCTTAACATGTAAGGATTGTCGACGATTCTTAAATCCAGTCTTAATTTGGACTGTTTACCCCCCAAGTTGTTAAAAGGAACTGGTTTCTAAATGAAATCTACGTTGAAGAATTAGTCACGGTTCTGAGCGATCTTAACATTTAAGGCCAAATAGTCTTAGAAGCTGAGTTTTGCCCACAAAATATACAGTCAATTCACTTTGCAGTATATTCTGTGAAATGCTTTGAGACGTCTCGAAGACATGATAAGACGTTATATCAAATGCAAGGATTATTATCATTATTAAGTCTTCAAGGCATTTTGTGTCCTATGATGCTATTATTATCTGTTGTGACAAACCAATTCTGGGGAAAGAGAGGAAGCAATGGGGGAAAACTAGCTGTCAGCCGTAGAAGTAAACAACTGTATGCAGCACGTTCAACCAGGGGTGAGCAGGTACATTAAAGGTACCATTAGGTTTAACTATTTCATCCATTCGCTGCTTGGTAAGCAGTCACACATCCTGTACTAATACATGGTGTAAGCATGAACACAGATTTGCAGCTGGATTGCATCTTCAGAGGGAGAGTTTAATTCTCGAATATGTTTCAATACAAATCTGACAATTCTTCTAACCCCAACCAAAGCAAAAAATGTGAAGGCAATAAGGATGGGGAATTAAACATATTGTAGCTTCTGTGATCAGAGGGACAACTGAATACACAAAACATAAAGTGGCAATGGAGAAAAGAACCAGAGGGGAGATGAGGAAAAAAATATTTACGCAGAGAATTGTTACGATCTGGAATGCATTACCTGAAAGGGTGGTGGAATCAGACTCAATAACAGCATCTAAAAGGGAATTGGATATTTACTTGAAAAGGACAAATTTGCAAAGCTATGAGGAAAGAGCGGGGGAGTGGAACTAATTGGATAGCTCTTTCAAAGAGCTGTACAGGCACGATGGGCTGAATGGCCTCCTTCTGTGCTGTAGGATTCTATGATTCTATGAATCCTACATCATTGAAAAGCAAATAGTTATATGTTCAGCCAAAGGTCCATCTCTATCTGGTGTGCTTTGTATTTTATTGGACTTAGTGAAATGCTGTTTTGTGAGTTAAAACAAAACACAATCCTTTAACTATGAGAGAATAACAAAAACTCAATTCTGTAAATAGACCAGAAACATTTCACTTACTGGGACAGTTGAGTGGATATTTCATTGATTGCTAAAACCTTGTTTGGTTTGAACCGATACAGCGGATCAAAATTAGTAGCACATCTGAGTTCTTAAGGGATAAGGACATTCCCACATTCTAAAGAGGAGAAATATTGTTCTTATTGAGGAGGAAAAGTGCAGAAGATCCACACTGCTCACAAAGTGAAAATAGACAAGCAATGTCTGTTTTCGATGTGAATCACTCTGGCGTTGTGTCACACATTCACAACACTGGCGAGAAACTTGTCAGGCCATGTGCTTGGGCAGGGGCAACATTGCCCCTTGAAGAGCAAGCCTGGAAATTGTCTCCTACATAAGGGCTCATAAATCAGTTGTTTTTTACTCTGGAATGCAACAAAGCCTTGAGATGATTAAATAGCCTTTGTCTGTATTCCAGGTTTTGACCAGTTCCCATTTCAGAAAAAAAAACTCTTGCTTCTTTGGAGTTTCTGCGGAGTCCTAGTGGTTAGCAGGCTCGCCTCGCAAGTGAGAGGACCAGGATTCGATTCCCGGGCGGGTCGAAACCTTAGGCAAGTTTCCTTGCTCCTCACGCCTCTGTAGGAACCAGGTTGTTAATCGATTAGTGGATCGTTTTCCGGGGATAATAATCCCTCAAAAAAATTCACGACTGTTTATGGGACATTGCTGTGTGTAATTGGTTGGCGGGTTTCGCCCACAAAATACGCAGTAAAATCTACTTTACAATATGCTTTGAGAAGTCTCAACGACGTAATAAGGCACTATATAAAATGCAAGGATTATTATTATTTAACTGTTGTATCAAATACAGTGAGTCTTCTATTAACTACCTCACTTCTCTCACTCACATTTAAGTGCAATTCGATTTGATAAAATAAAGCTGCGATTTCTCCGTATGGAATGGATGTGCTAGTCATATTCACCCTTAAGCTGTGACTGACGTATATTTTGAGTAACAATAGATCTTTAGAATAATAATTGGTAGGCTATAAATTATAGCATGTTTTTCTGGCTATTTAATGTTCCAATGTAATAATCCCATATCTAGGGAGGAGTGATGGATGTTACTGTCAGCCAAGTGAGTTTTCCTCAGTCACCTCAAGGTATACGTATGCACCTTATGTTGCTAACACAAATAAGACTTTGTTTTGACAACATATGAATACTCTTATAAGTGATTGGAAATCTTTACATCAGGATATAAACTTTGGGGAATCGCATGAGCAAAGTGAGTGAGTTGAGAGAAAGTGAGCAAGAAGTTCAAGTCAAGAAGTGACCCAAAGAGAGAAGGAGAGGAATGACTTGGGAGAAAGGTAGAAAGCCCAACAAACTAGATAAATGAAAAAGAGTCAGCTACCGAGGTATGGGGAAAGTGCAGGTCAATAGGACTGAAAGGATTACTCTTAAAAAAAGCCAGCACAGAAAATGATGAGCCGAATGCAGAAGTTTCTATGGTTCTATAGAAGGAAAATGAATAAACTATTAGTAAAAAGATTGGGGCATGAATGCCAAAGGGTCAAAGTGACAGTTTAATGCAACTTTGTTAAAGCTGTGCTTATGGTATAAACAAAAACACAATGAGGAACTTCATTTGAGTATCAAAAACAGTCTAAAAGGCTGAACCATAGGAAGGGTTCCTGGAATTTGGGAAGAGAGAATAATATCTGTGCATGAAGAAAGAATATGAGATAATTAGAGGTCTAGAGAGAGTACAAGAGAAACAAGGAGAAATAGAAACAAGTTGACAGGCGAGTCAAAGTAAATGATATTAATGGGGGCAACTTTGAACGTCTAAAAAGCTTATACTTTCAAAGTTGTACTGTTAGACCTATGGTGGATGTGGGAGCGAAGGATTCTTATCTATTTTTTCTCTATTGGAATAAGAAGGCACCATCATGTCTGCTTAGGTACGACTTCTCTTTTCAAACATTATGTTTGTCTCCCCTCCTCTCTCTCTCTCCCCCACACCCCCCATGTGTGATACAATCACAAACAGACAAAGTGACAGATTGGGATCAGTCCACCCACTCCTGGGGGCTGAAGCCCGGTTTGGTTTTCCTATTTCCCCTGTATCTGCAACAGGAATGAGCTCGTGCCAGATAGGATACCATGCTGGTGGGTTCATGCTGCAGCCTACTTTGATTTCCAAATGTTGTTTTCCTTTAAACCTATTTAAGGATGAATTTTGCTGTGTGCAGAATGAACTGCAGATAAACATGTGCCTGATTCAAATATAGGATTACAGTGAGCCAAGTCACTCCTCAAATTATCCACACACAAAATCAAATTCCTGACCCCA